TACAAAAAGATCCTGAAAAGACCTTTAAGCTTATGAAAGGAGTTCATGTCACTCATAATAATAGGAGACACACGAGAGATAGCATTTCTTACCTATCACACAATTAAGAAGTATTACAACTTTTGTTGGTGAGGCTATGGAGACACATACACTCATGCTGGTGGTATAAGTGAGCAGTGGCACAATCCATTATGGAAGGAAAATGGACAATATTTAACAAAACTACTTTTGTGTTTATCTTTTCACTTAGAAATCTTGCTTCTAAGAATCTATCCTGTGGGTGGCTTGGCTGGAAGACCATGTGACTTTTCTTTAAGTGAAGGTATCTTTTTTTTAATGTTTACTTATTTCTGAGAGAAAGAGAGAGAAAGACAGAGTGTAAGCAGGGGAGGAGCAGAGAGAGAAGGAGACACGGGATCCAAAGCAGCTTCTAGGCTCTGAGCGGTCAGCACAGAGCCTGACGTTGGACTTGAAATCACAAACCACGGGATCATGACCTGAGCTGAAGTCGGACACTTAACCGACTGAGCCACTCAGGCACCCCAATCATGAGATTCTTGATCTTGGGGTCATGATGAGCTCAAACCCCATGATGAGTGTACAGGTTACTAAAAAAATAAAATAAAATAAAACAAACCAAAAAAAGAATCTACCCTGAAGATACACCTCCAACAATAACAAAATACCTATGCATAATATTACCTATTGTAGTATTATGGCAGAACACTGAAAACAGGCTAAATACCCATATAAAGGAGTGGCTAAATAAACTATCAACACCCAGAAATGAAGTACTATACAGCTGTAACAAACATGAACAAGATCTCTATGAACTGACTGAGTGATCTCCAGAAAATGTTCTAAGTTAAAGAAGCAAAGTCCAGAAGAATAATCTAGTAGATGTTATCATTTTAAAAAGGGCAGGAGAGGGTAAACAAATAGATCTATCTGTTTATTTGCATAAAAAGAAACAGAAAGGATAAACCAGAAACCAATGTGATCGGTTACCCATGGGAGGCAGATGGAAATGGGGTGGGAAGAACAGGGCAGAAACTAGGGTAGTCCGGACTAGAGGGGATGACACTTTTCTAAAGACATCTTTCTGAATAGTTCTGATTTTTGGAAACATACTAATGTTTCATATACTCAGTAAATGCATGCTATAAAATGAAGAAGAATGGGGGGCGCCTGAGTGGCTCAGTCGGTTGAGTGTCCAGCTTCGGCTCAGGTCATGATCTCACAGTTTGTGGGTTCGAGCCCCCTGTCAGTCTCTGTGCTGACAGCTCAGAGCCTGGAGCCTGCTTTAGATTCTGTGTCTCCCTCTCTCTCTGCCCTTCCCCTGCTCATGCTCTGTCTCTATCTGTCTCAAAAATAAAGTATAAAAATTTTAAAAAATTTTAAAAAATAACAAAAAAATGAATGGGAAAAATACATTTAAAATGGAATATGATATGATATATGATAGAAATGAACATAAATGTGTTTCAAATGAACAACCTAGCCAGTTGCAGAGGAGTGGAAGAACTCACCCAATGAACTTCTGAATACAAGGACAAAAAGAATTATACTGATCTCTAGTTGGAAAGGTTTTGTTTATATTTTTTTGGCAGTGGTTTGAATTATTAATTTAAAAACTATTTTCCGTGCTAAGATTAAAAAATGAAGTGAATATAGTGTGGGTAATAAAATCTTAGTATATTTTTAACTAAGTTTGTTTGTTTGTTTGTTTATTTAGAGGGACAGAGACAGTGTGAAGACGAGAGGGGCAGAAAGAAAGGGAGAGAGAGAAAATCCCAAGCAGGCTCCAAATTGTCCACGTGGAGCCTGACACAGGGCTTGAACTCAAGAACTGTGAGATCATGACCGAAGCCAAAATCAAGAGTCAAGTGCTTAACTGACTGAGCCACCCAGGTACCCCCCAGGTTTCTTGGTGTTGGGTAAAGGAAATATAGATACGGATATGGGGAAAGCTAAAATGAACTTCACAGTATTAGACTACAATGGGAGGTTTGAGTAAGAATTCAGTTTAAGATACATACATTCATATATATGTATATATGGCTAGTGAAATGGACATAATGTGGCATGTGCGTACTTCTAGCTCTGTTCATTAAGATGGCAAAGAAATACTGTCAACTCAATAGCAAGAAGCTTATCTAGTACTCAGATTTTGTCTTCTAAATATCAATCTTTGCTAAAAGAAATTTCTCCTTGAAGAAATACCTAATTCCAAGGCTAAAGGTGAAAAAATAGAAGATGACCCTGGATTATGTGTTGTGCTAAAACATGAAGAAATTCTTTAAAGAATAACAGTGTCACATCAAAAGGAAATAGAAGCTGCTTGGAAAGGATTTCCAGTGGTTAAATCTGGGACAATTCAAACATTAAAATAAATACACGTGACAACTAAACACAAGATGTGATCCTGGAATAAATGGAATAAATCCTGGACCAGGAAAAGAATTTTTAAATTTTGTTATAAAGGAGATTATTAAGACAATTATGGGAATTTGAATAAGGTCTGTAGATAGGTAATTTCTTGGCTTTAATGGTTATGTAAGAGAATGTCCTTATTCTTAGAAAATACACACTGAAATATTTAGAGGTAAAGACATACTGTTACCTTCAACTTACTCTCAAAGATTTCAGGAAAAACACGCATACACAGAGTTCTAGACTGGTAAAACAAATATGGCAAAAAAAATGTTAACATTTGAGAAAGGTGAGTGAAAGATATATAAAAAATTTTTTTGTATTATTCTTGCAAGTTTTCTGAAAATCTGAAATCATTTCAAAATAAAGTTTAAAAATAAACAAAATCATTTCAGATAATGCTACCAGGAAAATAAAACATGGTAAATATTACAAAGAGTACCTGGGGTCCTCTGCAGGGAGGACCTTGCAGAGCAGTGCTTAAATTGAGAAATTGGAGAAATTAGCATGTGATCCAAGACCTAAAACAAGTAGGAGCCAGCCCATCTGAAGGTCTGAAAGCTTCCCTGTCCTGTTCCATGTATGTTGTTTTGATAAGCATTTTTGATACTCGGTAAAAGAATAGGTAAGAACTGATACTCACTATTCCAGGAGCCAGCTTTAAAATGCAATTACTGCTCAGTCAGTGATGAAATACATTTAGAAGTCTGATACGGAAAATCACCCCTTGGTTTATCTGGGACAATGTAAATGTGTATGTAACTGGAAAAACGTTTTTAAAGAATTGTCAGGGAGGTCTAAGCTGCTTGGCTGCCTGGAACAGCGTGGTGCTAATACAGAAGGAAGAGAGGCTTTGGAATCAAAATGAATTTAGGCCTTACTACTTTCTAGCTCAGTGTTTTCTCAACTTGTTAACACCTCCGAACTGCTGCCTTCTCTTTGAAAATGGGGATACCAACTTGTCAGTGTGAGAATTAGTTGAGAATTAGAGCGAAGGTATACAAGTGCTTAGCAAATGCCCGAATCATAGCAAGTACTCAGACAATGACAGCCCGAAACAAACGAACAAATGGCAAAGCTACACTGATTTCCTCCACTTCCTCTAGCCCTGATTACACACTTCATCTTTTAGTTCTATACCAGGCTTTCTCAACCCTGACACTATTGACATTTTGGGCCAGATAATTGGATGTTTAGCAGCATCCTTGACTTCCATCTACTAGATGTCAATAGTAGCATCCCAGTTGTGAAAATGAAAACTGTGTCCACACATTGCTAAATGTCCCCTGCGGCACAGTTGAGAACCACTAATTGACACAGATCATTAAAATGGAGGAACAACATTTAATAGGGCTAACCAAAACAAACCACCTCATTTTCCTCAGACTGCTGAAAAGTCAAATGACAGGAGAGGCAGAGGGAAATAGTTCATGCCCTATAAAGAACCTGTTACCACTGTCACAGAATTTGGCCTATTTATTTATTTATTTTTAATGTTTTTTTTTGTTTTGTTTTGTTTTTTATTTCTAGGAGAGAGAGAGAGAGACAGCGTGAGCAGGGGAGGGTCAGAGAGAGAGGGAGTCACAGACTCTGAAACAGACTCCAGGCTCTGAGCTGGCAGTCAGCACAGAGCCCGATGCAGGGCTCGAACCCACGAACCGCGAGATCATGGCCTAAGTGAAAGTCAGATGCTTAACCAACTAAGCCACCCAGGCGCCCCAAATCTGGCCTATTTAAAGAGAGATTGGACAAGTTAACCTATACAAGCCTCAGTTTCCTCATATGACTGTTATATGGAATAAATGCACAATATAAGTGCTTAACACAGTGTCTGGCACAAGTGAGCACTCAGTGCAGGGCATTCTCATTATAATTATGGTACTCCTTCTAATCCTGGGCTTTTAGGTCCCACTCATCACCCCTTATTCCAAATTCCTCACTCTGTACATACATTTATTTCTACTCCCAACTCTAAAGTGCCTTAATCTCTCTTTATAGACACAGCTAACCACTGGGACATAAAAGTACCTGAGATGCCAGGGCACTCTGATAATAAATTCTAAAATCCTTCCCTAACCACTTACACAGAATATACGCATGTAAATTAGAGCCCAGAAACATATTACTTATGTGAAAAACCTGAGTAAAATTAATGAGAATAAAAGAAGAAAAACAGCACTAACTTGATTCCATTAGGGCACAACTACTTCTGTAATTCATACTAATTAGTTCAGTGTTAAAAAAATGAGAACTCCTCAAGTAAAGGAAATCCATTTGAGAAATTCTCCTTAAATCCGGGTTATTTTTTATGTTGCAAAGTAGAAATTTCTAAAATAACTTACTAAAGACAATTTATAAATGACCATCTATGATGATCACATGCTACCTAGATAAAGTTATCAGGTAATTTATGACAAATCCAAGATTACACCTGAACCAGAAGTCCTGGAAAAGAAAAATGACTGAGAAGTTACGAAATGAAGTTTCAGAGAAAAAGTCATTACTGTGTAAAAGAATGAGTGATGCCCTGCTGTGCCGAAATGCATCAAAATGTCATTACAGCTCACCTGGAGTTTCTGAGTCAAAGAGTCTCTCTGTTCTTGTAGTTCTCTGGCGTTATCAATTTCTTGTTTCAATCTTTCTATTTCCTAGAAAAAGTACAGCAATGTCTTTAGCAACCATATTTACACTAAATCAAGGAAAGAGAAGGTCTTATTTTTCCCTGAAATTATCGTCCCAGTCCCTAGAAAAAAAAATAATTAAAAAAAAAACCCATTCCTTTCTACTGACTAAATTTGAGAGGGGTGATTTGTCTTTATGAGTGTGTCGTCTAGTCCGTGATAATCTTAAGCAACAAGTGTATTTGGTGGCTTTGATACAGCACTGCTTAGAAACCACCATCAGAATATATTTTGAAGTTGTGGATATAATTCTTTCCTGGGACATTAAATCTTCTGACTGGAAACCAGAGAAAGCAACAGCTTGTAAAATTCACTTAATCTCTCCTGGTTTTCTGTTGATTTTATAAATGCTACTCTCATACAGAAGGCAAGAAGCAGTGTCTCAGTCTGATTGCCTTGCCATCGTTCATAACAGCAGAAACAAGAAAGGAGAAAATATGAACAAGCTAAATATTAATCAGAAAAACATTTCATGCCCCCAAACAGCATCCCACGACCTTACATTATTCCATAAAATACCTGTAAATCTGACATACGCTCAAATATTTTGTACACATATGTTAGCCACATCACAGATGAATAAAAAGTAGCACATACCTCTTCCTTCACTTTCAGTGTCTCTTCTAGTTCTTGGATTGTCTGATTTAATTCTGTCTTATGGGTATGCACTGCATTTGCTTGGCTGCTAACACATTCAAGCTCAGTCACCTAGAACGAAATGAGAACACAGGGTAAGTTATATGACTACTTCAAAGGATTTCTTGCTGAATATATAATAGCTCCTGATAGGTAAATCACAAATTCTAAAGCAACATATGAAAATCAATTTTGAGAAATATTAAGACACTTATGGTAGAATGAATACATTCTTTAAAGACATGAATCTAAGACAAAGGAAGAAGATTAGGGAAATAATTATTTATATGGCGTGGTCCTAGAAAAAGTCAGTAAAATTTAAATTAAGTGACTAATGATAGTAGAGAACCCCTCTAATGCAAGTCTTCTTTAAAAATGTCCTATGAAAACATATTCAAAATCAGATATAGCCATCTGCCTTCCATCTGTAGCTTTCAAATTAGACATGGCTTCTGAAAACTGGCCTTGCAGAAGTGAGAAAATTTTCAAATACATTTCCAAAATGTTAAGAGAATCTGGAAGAAAAGATATGCTTAAAAATACAACTTGAATCATTCGATTACTAGAATGACTTCATATCAATAGTGTCTCTGTGGCAAAAGATAACATTCTTTAGTCAATAAGAATGTACTGAGGGCCTGAAAAGCTACGTAACTTTTAATGAGCACTTGGTATTTTCTGAGAGAACAGAGAAAGGCAGAGTTCCTAAAAGTTATACTACCCAACAACAATGTTGGATTCAACCATCAAATGGGACAGAAGTCAACGTAAAAACATACATACGCTCCCAATAATAGCTCTTTACACACATCAGGAGCTCAGACATTTTGGGTGACTACAATGCAGTGAATTTTAGACTGTTAAGGAAACATACCAAATTCTTCTTCACATTTTCCAAACACCTAATCACCCTCCACAAATATCACTTTACCTTTCCTAACACTTTCGTCCTTTCTAGTCATGTACTAACAGCCTTGTGCAGACCCTTACCATCCAGGCATAAAGAACAGCAAAGGCTTGCCAGAAGACTTAACTATAATCTATTTTTATCTCTCTGACAAACTAACATTCATCCATCATCTGTAATTCCCTCATTCAAAGCCTTTCAAAGGCTCATTTTTTTTTTTTTTACAACATCAAATCTAAACCCTTAGCTCTTGCATATACCAGCCCTAAACTACTTAACCATCCTCATCATCCAAGACATTCACACTATGTGATATATCACTTTTCCAACTAAAAGCAGGCAAGTCTCCTTGTTCTAAGAATAAACCACTCTCAGGGTGCCAGAGTGGTTTAGTCAGTTAAGCATCCTACTCTTGATTTTAGCTCAGGTCATGGCCTCATGGTTCATGAGATCAAGCTCCATGTCAGGCTCTGTGCTGACAGCCAGTAGCCTACTTGGGATTCTCTCTCTCCCCCTCTCTGCCCCTCCCTGGCTTGTGTGCACTCTCTCTAAAAATAAGTAAATAAAACTTTAAGAAGGAATAAACCACTCTCACTCCCCCAATAAACGCCCCCCCCCCAAAAGCATACAGACTTTCTTCAAGTCTTTGGCCAACCCTTGAACTAAACATGCACAGGTAAGAATTCAAAGAGTCCAGTATGGTGGGGTGTGGGGAGCTAGAAGGCTGAAAGGGCTAAGGTGGTAGTGCTCACCCCAAAGGAAACAGTTTGAAGTTTGAGTTCCACCAAATTAGAGGACACTGGTCATCACCTCAAGCTTTCCAGTGAAGTACCAGAAGGGTTATGCCTTAGAAATAAAGATTTCTCAGGACTAGGGTATTAACCATAGGGTTAAGGGCAAAATTAAAATAAAACAACTCTAACAATGAAGCATAAGTCCACACTTCCACAAATTCTAGGAAATCTGTAAGTCATTTAATTACTTGCTCAAATAAAAACACCAGAGTAAGATCAGAGAACCTATAGCCTATATAGCATCTAATGTTCAATGTCTAACACACAACTGAAAATGACTACACAAGTGAAAAAATAGGAAAATGCAACCAGTAATGTCAAAAATCTGTCCTTATACCCCACTGGCCCAAGGTGCAAAGTAAGTTTATTCAGGCTAACTGGAAATGACACCTGATGGAAATTCAGATCTATAAAAAGGAATAAAGAGCACTGAAAATTATAAATACGTGAATAAATAGAAAGATTTTCTTAACTCTGTAAAATTCAATTGAAACTATATTTTAACCAAAAATTCCTTACGGGCAAGGATCATTCAATAAGGAGATATGATAGTTTTTCAATGAATAGTTATTGGCTCATGAGTTAACAGTTGTGAGTTCATTTTTCGTAACTGTGGTAAAGAACACATAACTAAATTGATCATCTTTACCATTTTTAAGTGTACAATTCAGTAGTATTAAGTATATTCAGACTCTTGTGGAAAAGATCTCCAGAACTTTTTTCATCTTGCTAAATGGAAATTCTATACTCATTAAACAACTTTCTTCTTCCTACTCCTAAGTTAACCTTTATACACGCAATAGGATGGCATTTATTCTGTTTTCTTCCTTTCCCTGTGTCTATTCCATTTCTATATTACTTCCCTTGTCATCCTGGTCCTATTACATCCCTTAAACTGTGCTCTGGTAGTAAGACAATTTCCTACTGTCTTTGAAGTTCACTTGTTTGGCATTCTTTCTTTTTTTTAATGTTTATTTTTAAAGGAGAGAAAGGCAGGGGATGAGCTGGGGAGGGGCAGAGAGAGAAAGGGAGACACAGAATCCGAAGCAGGCTCCAGGCTCAGAGCTGTCAGCACAGAGCCTGACATGGGGCTCGAACTCACAAACCGTAAGATCATGACCTGAGCCGAAGTCGGACGCTTAACCGACTGAGCCACCCAGGTGCCGCTGGCATTATTTCTAAAAAAGGAAATTAGTGGCATCTACTTCCTGTTGGGTAAATGTAAATGCTTTGAGAACAAAAAAAAAAAAAAATTCTTCACAAGTAATTGTGTGGGCTTCTGATATTACTTATACTGGGGTTTCTGATTTTCTTTTCTTTTATGAAATTTCAAATACAGGTGCTCCCCCACTTTCTGAGAGCTTGTATTTATGCCATTTCACTTCTGTGAAAGACATGTATTAGTATTTTTTGGTAAAAGTGAAAATCATCTTCAAATTTCTGTCAAGTAGCAAAAGCAGGTATTAGTGTAGGTCTTTTGTAAAAATGAAGTGACATAATGTGAACTTTCAAGCAGGGGATATTCTTTTCTTTATGCCGCTTCAGCTTAGGAAAGGTTTCACAGGAATGCTTTACTTTTGGATAGTGGAGGAAACCTGTATAACTATTTTTTCTTAAATTTTTTTTATGTTTATTTTTGAGAGAGAGACAGAGAGAGAGAGAGAGAGAAGAGAGCATGAGTTGTTGAGGGGAACAGAGAATCTGAAGTGGGCTCTGTGCTGTCAGTAAAGAGCTGGATGAGGGGCTTGAAAAAATGAACCTTGAGATCATGCCTTAAGCTGAAGTTGGCCTCTTAACCAAGTGAGTCACCCAGGCACCACTCTCCCCAACTTTTATAAAGAATTTCCTACCTGTATATTTTAAGTTGATCCTTTAAAAAAAAAAAACCTTTTTTCAATGTTTTTATTTAATTTTGAGAGAGAGAGAGACAGAGTATGATTTGGGGAGGAGTAGACAGAGAGGGAGAGACAGAATTTGGAGCAGGCTTCAGGCTCTGAGCTGTCAGCACAGAGCCCAGTGTGGGGCTCAAACTCAAAACTGAGATCATGACCTGAGCTGAAGTCAGATGCTTAATTGACTGAGCCACTCAGGCTCCCCTGGTTCCTTTTTTAAAAAGTAAAAATAAAATAATAAAAGCATCTATCATGAACTCACTGCAACTAAATGTCAACTCACCTTCTCCATTGATTTTCAGGAATTCTACAAAGTATAAATTGTTATTTCTAGGGGCGCCTGGGTGGCTTAGTCGGTTAAGCATCCGACTTTCGCTTAGGTCATGACCTCGCGGTTTGTGGGATCGAGCCCTGCATTGGGCTCTGTGCTGGCTGCCAGCTCAGAGCCTGGAGCCTGTTTCAGAGTCTGTGACTCCCTCTCTCTATGACCCTCCCTTGCTCAGGCTGTCTCTCTCTCTCTCTCTCTCTCCCCTAGAAATAAATAAAACATTTTTTAAAAATGGTTATTTCTGGGGCGCCTGGGTGGCTTAGTCGGTTAAGCGTCCGACTTTCGCTTAGGTCATGATCTCGCGGTTCGTGGGTTCGAGCCCCGCGTCGGGCTCTGTGCTGACTGCCAGCTCAGAGCCTGGAGCCTGTTTCAGTCTGTGACTCACTCTCTCTCTGGCCCTCCCCTGCTCACGCTGTCTCTCTCTCTCTCTCCTAGAAATAAAAAAAAAAAAAAAAAAAAAAAATGGTTATTTCTATTTTATAGATGAAATTACTGAGCAGAAACAAAGAGATAACTTACCAAGGGTCTCACAGGTAATGGCAGAATAGAAAACTATTTTTCTTAACTAAGTAAACCCACATATACTACCATCTATCTATATGTTCTGACAACCAATGATGATCTCCAAAAGGTGTCCTTGAGCTGAGTACGTTTCTGCTGAACTGCGATGTCTGTTGGGCCAGAAATCCCTATGGACGGCAGCAGCTCTGAACTTACTCGCTTGTGTAGACGTTCTGCTTCCTCTTGATACGCAGCAAGTTGCTGTTTCCATTGTTTCACATTGGCAGTAGACTCCAACAGGGCTGCAGTCAATTTGGCATTATTTCCTTTGAGGGTAGCCAGTTCAGCCTCCCAATGTTTGCTGATTGCTGAACTAAAAGAAAAGAAAATTCTATCAATTCCGTTGAATGTTGTTACTCTGAAGGGACAGCAGGATTCAGTTCTATAAAACTACTAGTTTTATAGTTCATGAATGTTTCAAAGATAATCCAAAAAGTATAAAACTAAATATTTCAATGAAATGTTCCTAGTGAAGAAAACCTAACAAATGAAGAAATACAAAAAATGCCAAAGTAGTAAGCTTAATGTGGACTAGTTCCCACTTTCATTAGTAGGGCAGGTAACAGACATCTACAGAGGGGTTTCTACCTATTCTCTTTTGAGGAATAAACATTATAACCTGAAAAACATCTATCAGCAAAACCTAACAATCTACTATACATTTGAAGTAGATATCGTTAAAAAATTTTATTTCATAAAAATATAGTTTTGACCTACAATACTAGTTTCTGGTGTATAACATAGTGATTTGATGATTATACACACCACAAAATGCTCAAAATGGTAAGTGTCTCTGTGTATTACTATACAAACCTATAATATCATTTACTGTATTTCCTACTCTGTACTTTTCATCCTTGTTATTTACTTTATAACTACAAGTTTGCATCTCTTAATCCCCCTAATTGCCTACCTACCCTCACTTCCCTTTTAGCTGGCAGCCACCAGTTTGTTCTCTGTATTTATGAGTCTATTTCTGTTTGTTCTGTTTTTTAATTTTTTTATTAAGTTTATTTGAGGGAGTGAGAGAGCACGTGTGGGGTAGGGGTAGAGAGAGGGGGGAGAATGAATCTCAAGCAGGCTCTGCAATGTAAGTGCACATCCCAATATGGGGCTCGAACTCACGAAACATGAGATCATGACCTGAGCAGAAATGAAGAGTCAGATGCTTAACTGACTGAGCCACCCAGGCATCCCAAGTTTGTTTTGTTTTTTAAATTCCACACATAAGTGAAATCCTATGGTATTTCTGTCTTTCTCTGACTTATTTTAAACAGCAAAATACTTTCTAGGTCCAAACATGTTGTGGCAAGTGGTAAGATTTCATTCTTTTTTATGGCTAAGATTCCATTTTGTGTATATATTATACCACATTTTCTTCATCCATATCCATTCATCTATTGATGGACCTTGGGTTATTCCTATATCTTGGCTATTGGTGAAAACATGCAATAAACAACATAAAGATGCATATATCATTTAGAATTAGAATTTTCATTTTCTTTGGGTAAATACCCAGAAATGAAATTACCGGATCATATGTATTTCTATTTTTAATTTTTGAGGAACCTCTAATACTGTTTTCCATAGAGGCTACACCAAATGCACTCTGTTTTTTTAAGTGCATCAAAGCCTGAAGTACAATTTCATTCCTTTCTGAAACATATGAGGATGCTTCAATGTCAGTAAAGTTTGGGACATGTAATGTAGTATTTCTTCTGAAATTATTGTTGATTTATTTCATGCTTTTCACAATTTTGAAATGCCCAAAACACAAAAAATTTGTTGCAATAAATTTATTTCAGATATGATGATAGGTTATACCCAGAAATTGGTCTTAATGACTTAATTTCTGACAGAATTCCAGTGTTACATGTAAAACAAAAAAAACCTAAAAGCAATCACCTATTTTCTCATTTATTGTTTTACTTGATAGGTTATCCAAAGTTAATTGCCTCAACCAAAACAATTTTTCTACTATAGAGTCAAGAGTCAATTCTATTAATTGGAAAGATTCCTCTCTTGATAATTTCCTTTGTTAACTGCCTAATGAAGAAAGAATTGCCTCATGTGAAAGAAAAAGGTGTTTCTTCTTCTTATTGAACAATTTACTTATCTTAGTGAAATTCTACAGACCCCATCCCATTAACTAACTAGTGATAACAGCTTTCCCTAACCTGCATTTTGGTTTTTGGTAAGTTATCTGCATTACAGAGCAAATGCTTTGATGGACTATTTTTAATAATAATTTAAAATTTTTTAAATGTTTTATTATTTATTTTTGAGAATGAGACACAGCACGAGCAGGGAAGGGGCAGAGAGAGAGGGAGACAAAGATTCTGAAACAGGCTCCAGGCTCTCAGCTGTCAGCACAAAACCCAACACAGGGTATGAAGTCACGAACCACGTGATCATGACCTGAGCCTAAGTTGGATGCTTAACGAACTGAGCCACCCAGGTGCCCCCTTAATAATAATTTTAATATGTATTATATAAAAGAAATCATAGCTCCTATCATCAAGAATTTCTAAAGCTCTTCACCAATAATAAAATGTATCAGTATCATCAACTCTCTGATATGATGCACAGGGAAAGATACAAGATAATTTCTGTGGTATTCTTGCCAAAAATGCATAACCTTATTCTAATCATGAGGAAATATTATAAACCCAAATTGAGGAACATTCTACAAGATAACTGGTTGGGACTCTTCAGAAGTGTCAAGAAAAGGTAAGACTGAGAAAAAGAATGGTGGAGAATAAGAAGAAATAATTAAATGCAAAATGTGATCATGGATAGGTTCTTAGAAGAGGAAAGGACAATAGTGAAAAGAGGTTTGCAGTTCAGTCAATAGTACTGTATCTATATTAATTTGATAATCATTATGGTTATGTAAGATGCTATAATTAAGAGAAGCTGGGTGAGGGGTACATGGAGATTCTCTACATAGTTTTTTAACTTTTCTTTAGGTCTAAAATTAGCTTCAAATAAAATGTTTTTAAAATTTTCTAAAGTTTAGTGAGAAAATTTCATCAAAACATGAAGCAAATAAAACAATAAGCTATTAATTTAACAGCCCACTTGTAGCCTTGAAAAGAAAACTCTTCTATTCTGTCTTTTGTGGAATGATTTTCCAAATTCAGGTTTCCTGAGGAAAGCAGGCACCTGTTCTAACTTAATTACAGATTTTTTTTTCAAACCACCTACATTTTTTCCCTAGAGAGATAAGTTTTACTTAAACAGATAATCTGACAACTAAAATCTTACTGAATTAATTTAAACACTAGATATATGCAAATATCAAACACCTGGGGGCATCTTTTGTTATATTCGGTCTTTAGTCCTCAGCCCCAGAAATCACTAAATTTAGAGGCATAAAGGTGAAATGGATGTCCTGTTATTCAGAAGCCCCTTTCAACCACAACTGAGTTTATGTTAATGAGGTGACTTTTAGAAACCCCCTAAAGATGTGAGGGATGGTGGCAAGAACTAACCCTGGTTAGTGGGTTAAAACTTTCACTCCTACCCTCTGACCTCCAGGGAGAGAGAGGGGCTGAAAGTTTAATCAGTCATCAAAGGCCAAAGAATTTATCAATCATGTCTGTGTAACGAAGCCTCCAAAAAACCCCAGAAGAGTTGCCATGCTGGTGACCCCAAAAGCATTCAAGTGCTAGGCCCCAAATTCCACAGGGGAAATAGCTCCTGTTATCATAATCTTGCTCTATGTATTATTTCAACTGGCTGTTCATTCACATCCTTTCATATCCTTTGTAATAAACTGGTAATCTGGTAAGTAAAGCCAGTTTCTGGAGTTCTGTGAACCACTCTAGCAAATTAACTAACTAGGGAGGGAGTTGTAGGAACCCCTAATTTACAGCTAGTCAATCAAAAGCATAGGCAACAACCTGGACTTGGAACTGGCATCTGAAGAGGAAGCAGTCTCACCAGAGTATCTAAGACATTGAGTGTGTGCGGGGGGGGGGGGGGGGGGGGGGGGGGGGGGGGGGGGGATGAACGAACAATATAATACTGTCTAACAAATGTGTAACTAGCATCCCAGAAAGGGAAAAGAGAAGAAAGCAGAAGAAATATCTGAAGAGGCAAAGGCTGAGAATTAACTACAAACCCAAAAAAAACTAAAAAACACTGTGTATAAAGGAACAAAAGTAACAATTATAGTAGTTTCTCCTCACAAACTAAGCAGTCCATAAGAAACCAGTGGGAGAATATCAAAAGAAAACAATTCTCAACCCAGAATTCTAGACACAGGGATGATACTTCTCTAAATGAAGGTGAAATAACAAAAGCGGAGGGAATTCATTACCAGACAACAACATACTACAGGAAATATAAAGGAAGTTCTTACATTATAACAGACAAGAACTTGGATCCTCACAAAGAAATGAAAGTATCTGGAAGTGATTAAAATGAAGATTATTATAGGGGCTCAGTCAGTTAAGTACCTGACTTTGGCTTTGGTCATGATCTCACAGTTCATGAGTTCAAGCCCCACATCAGGCTCTTTGCTAACAGCTTGGAGCCTGAAGCCTGCTTCAGATTCTGTGTCTCCCTCTCCCTCTCCCTCTCTCTCTGCCCCTGCCCAAACTTTGTCTCCCTCTCTCAAAAATAAACATTAAAAAAATTGAAAAATGGAAAAATTAAATGAAAATGATTATTAAAAAATCCCAAGGTAATTCAAAGGAGAATGAATAGTCTTTTAAACAAATACTGCCTAAACAACGAGATAACCACACACACATACACACAGAGTGAGAGCGAGAGTGAGAAGAAAATCTTGAGTCATATCTCCTATCCTAATATAAAAATGAATAAAACTGTTATAAAATATAAAACTTCAAGAAGAAACCACAGGAGAAAATCCTTGTCAATATGGGTTAGCCAGAAACTTCTTGGATAGAGCATCAAAAGCCATTAACCATTAAAAATTGATAAAAGGGATTTCATAACAATTACAAATTTCTCTTTGAAAGACACAATTTTTAAAAAAAATGATGAGATTCTGAGATGCAAGGAAAGTTCAACATACAAAAGTCAATCAACGTAATATACCACATTAATAGAATAAACAGTTTAGAAAAAACACATGATCATTTCAAATGATATAGAAAACCATTTGACAAAATTCAATACCCTTTTATGATAAAAACATTCAATAAATGAGGACTAGAAGGAAACCACCTGAATATAATAAAGGCCATATAGGAAAATCACACAGCTAATGTCAGAGTCAAAAGGGAAAGACTGAAACCTTTTCCTTTGAGATCAGAAACCAGACAAGGATGCTCACTTTCA